AATGTCAGCTTTCTGCTGGCTAGAACCATCTGTGCGATTATCGATGAGACAACCCTCCGAGCTCCCACATAGCCTTGCTTCCTTCCAGTCCACCCTTTTATTTTAATGTTCCTAAGCTTTTCTTCTTTAACTTGTCTTTGCCCCCCCCCCACCCCCTCTTTCCGCTGCATCTGCTCTCCAGGGAATATCTAAGTGAGTAGATTTATTCATTCAAACGGTTCTGAATTGCAATATGGCGACCCGGCAGTCACATATGCCAAAGTCTTCACGAATCGCCTGGGTGCGTCGACCCAAAGGTTTGCCTTATATCCCGACCAAATGACTTATGATTTTTCTCAAATCATTTCCTTAACTCCCACTTGCACCGGAGCAGCGGTGGGTGCCATTCACAAAGCTTGTGTCAGCCAGTATTATACAGACGTCTGCATGGCTTTAAAAATGTGCTCATTTGAGCACAGAACGTCTCCATTGGGAACCCATTCTTTACTTCAAACACTCGGCCACAATATTGGGTACACCTGGTCTCAATCCCATGCCATCCAATGCAAGAGCTGGTGAACAAGCCTGCATTTACAAAGACGATGATGATGAAACTTGGTATGAATCGTATCACGCTATTGGAAATTGGATTTAGGCAATTTTTTATGAAAGTTTTCCTCTTAAAATAGCACTCTATAGCAATGTACTGTATAAAAATAAATAACAATTAAACAGTTTGTGCATCATGATTTAATGTTGCAATCAAATTCATTCAGCTGCTCCTTCTGGTGTACCCAACTTGGCCACTGAGAGGCAGGATATTATTGTACAGTCATGCCGACACAAACAAAGAAGAGTGCTCCTACTTGAACTACTTATAATGATGCAAAATGATTGGAATCGAGTTCACTGCCACCACATAGCGCTCATATGTCAAGTTTGCGAACATCAGCTCAAATCTCCAAAAACCTGCAAGGTCCGCTCTCTCATTTCTCAAGGCACTGCTGTACTATACATCACATATTGCATCACCATTTCTAATAATTTTTTTAGCTACATGAGAAGCAAAATATTAGCAATGCATTTTCACAACAACTACAGTGATAAACACTTTTAAGTAATGCTAACAAGACTCATAATATAATTTCTTGCTCTTGTTTTGGATCTCATTGGTTAGAGGTGTACCTAATGAATGGTTGTGTAAGCGTATCTTGCCGAGTCAATTATTGGCTGCCATGCAACCCATTTTGCTGGCTCTAGTTGAGGAAAATTGTATTCTTCCTGCAGTGGACTAGCTCTGACCCACTATGTTTATTAGTGACATGATATCCAGTGCATATGTTTCACAGCACCTTCATTTCTCCAATAATCCCATGATAACATTCTTCCAAAGCGCCACCTCACTTTCATCCAGCACTTATGAAGATATTGCTAGGCATCTGGAAACGTTTAGCTACATTTGTTCTCTCCTCAAGTCACCGTCAGCACATCCAAAGGCACAAACACCCTCTTTGCATTAGCACGCCCCACATAATGATTTACACTTGCCAATCAGTCCAGACCAGGCGCTGTTTTCTGGCCCCTTCTGAGATGCCTTCCTGTTTTGGGCTGTATTTTGACCTGTAACACTCAGTTGAGCACATGAACGCGCTGCAGTGCGGTGCCTTATGCGTGCATCCAGCCCCAACAATACATCAAAGTTTCATACGGAATAATAGCAGCGCTGACAGGCTCACATGATATCGCCCGCTTTCCAGGCAGCCGATTTCTCGTTCAGATAAAAGCAGCCTATCAGGGCCTCATGACTACCTCACCTGTGTAACCCAGCTCGAACAATTACATCTATGTGTGTGTGTGTGTGTGTGTGTGTGTGTGTGTGTGTGTGTGTGTGTGTGTGTGTGTGTGTGTGTGTGTGTGTGTGTGTTCAAGCTGTCATTATGTGTTGCTATGGGATGCAGAGAAATGGATGGCTGCTCATGCGACAGACACAAGGAAGGACTGTTTACGTCTTAAGACTCAGAGTGAGAAAGAGCGATTGGCCACAGGGATGAATTATGGATACCTCATGTCTAAAGCTGGAGCCGACTCTTGAGCCAGAGTGCTTTTCAAGGATGGGTAATTGAAGTGCACAGCGAGAGGATGGCAGTATTACATGGAGAAGGCTGCTCCTTTTTTGTTCGATGATTTTGAATTTTACAAGGTGCTCAGCTACCATTTCCACAACACCAATTTCAGCTGAAAATTGATTGAGTTCTTTTTTTTTACAAGTGTCTTTTTGGCCATTAGTTTTCATGGCAACAGTTTTTAAGAGAGGGTAAACATTTGAAAAGGCTCCCTAAAGTGGAGCTTTTCGAAAAGAGGTTCTCAATGAAAATGAAGCCTTATATGGGCACTTGACAAGCAAAAAAAAGATGAAAAATAAAAGGACCGCAATGTTTTTGTCACATTTGTCCTTAGATCACTTCTCAAGTGAGGTGATAAATATTTGCAGTGGATACAAAAATTCTACAAAAGCCTGTTCAAATGCCAGGTTTTTGTACTACAAAAAAATAAGACCTAGTAATATAATGTAAAAAAACGTTTCATACCATTAACGTGACCTATAACGTGTACAAATCAATAAATAAAAATAAATAAATAATAATTCTATGAATGCGGTTGCACAAGTATGCACACCCTCATATGGGACGTGTTTTTTGGGAGTCAGCACACATCTGACACTGTTTAAAGATAAAGCATCCTCTGATTAGCCCACAATAAATTTCAGCTGTTCTTGTACGATTTTCCAGACTTTTGCTAATGTTTTTGCAAGGTTTTGTTCAAATTAATTTTAAGCAGAGCTGTTTAACATGTTAAAACAAATATAAGCCAACAAAAACATGTTTTTGTGTCCCCCCAGTGGCTCCAAGTAGCGACGTAGTTTGAGAAAGCCTTTGACAACCTTCAAAATATGGCAAATTCTTGATTTATTTATTTATTTGGGGGGGGGGGTTAAAAAACACGGTTTTATGAATGGCACTTTTTTATTGTTGTCCTAAATTGATTTCTTCCCATACAAAAAATTGTTGACTAATTGTATTCAAACCATCACATAGTGTTCATTCACAAACTGAAGTCGATGACGATTGGCCGGTCACGTGCTTACAGTGTTTTCAGTCGGTTTCGCAGGGAAAACGTTTTGTCAACGATGCTACCATTGTTGAAACCTCTCATTGACAAAATGATGCAAAGTTTCCAGTCAATATATCCTCTGGCTTAAACACCACCATGAGTATAAACCTGAAAATCTAGTCTCACTTCATAATTCAACACTACAATTCCTTGGATGCAGCGTCGCTTCCCTGTGCATTTTGCCTTCTTCTTTCACACACACACACACACACACACACACACACACACACACACACACACACACACACACACACACACACACACACACACACACACACACGGCTTAGACAGATGCCCAATGAATCGGAAGAGCATTTGTCTCAAGATAAAAGACTTCACACCCACTGCCTACATGGAAGAGCTTCTTCTGACACCTTTCCGTGACGGCGCATGCTGCTTGTGCCGAGCAGACACACTCCAGCTAGTATCCCTCTCCACACCCAGCACCGTCGCAACACACTTGCTTCCCTTCAGCTCTACCAGCTCCCTTTTTCTCCCTTCCTCGCCATCAATGGAGTTCTGGTACTATACGGTAGCAGCCCGGGGGTTAGGAGGGCTAGGAATGGGAAGCACATAAGCGGCATGACTGGAACAAACACTAAGACGGATAAGCTGTGGTGAAAAGCTGTTTTTTCTCCGTGGGGCTACGCGAGGCGGCGAACATGCTTCGCCACACACAGGGGTGCGAAAAACGACACTGGCCATGATGCTAGATAATTGCTTCTCATTTAGTCGTGCACTCAGTAGCGTCGGACAAAAATAGCGTGTGTCGCTGTACGGAAAATGTGCAGGGAAGCATGGGGAAGTGGAAGGTGCCGCTCTGGTGGATCGATACGCAGAATGGAAAGCACCCTGGTTGCACAGCCTCTCTTTTCTACCTAAGTCTAAAATTTCAGGCATGTAGGCTTATCACTGCAACCAAAATGGACTCAATCACACCTCACGGTCTAAACCCTAATCACCTAAAACCTGTTTTTGTCTTCCCAGCAAATGTAGTTGGGAGGTAAGTGGTCATCCCAAGAATGGCTTGGACGTTTACACAAGGCCTAACTGTTGTTTTTTCACACCATAGTGTTACCTGCATCACATCTGTAGGTTTGGCCCATCCCCCCCCCCCCCCACCTCCCCAAAAAAGCCACCCCTAAACCCTCCCAAGGCAATAATATGCAACATTATACTTCACAGGCATCCAGATATAGTCCAACAGTGGCTAAAGTGGCACTTTACGGAAATGTACTCTGACAAGGCGTCAAGACCGAATCCCGGGAGAGAGGATCCACGCATCCAGGATGTGTGTGTTCTCCTCACCGACCCATCCAACAATTATACAGTCCTCATTACCATCACCACAGAATGCTTCTATAGGCAGTGTGTTGCTCTACTGCACAATCAAAGTCATGGAATAATCATCATGCAATGCAGGTCAGATGGAACACAAGTAATCAATTTGTCAGATTACCTCCTGGGCTTGTGGAACATGTGCCATGCATAGCATACATTTCATAACAACACTCTGCCATGCATCCATCACCCGACACAGACAAGCCCTCAGTTTTCCATTTGCAGCTTGGCTTCACATCAAGGTGAGACGGGGGGATTCATGAGGGGACAATAATGATGCACCTATGCCAGGAGAACAACATTCAAGTTGAAGCCTTTTGAACCACCGCAGTGCAGTACTGTACCCAGCCAGGTGCTCCTATAATCCTGCTGAGAGCCCACACATGCTGGGTAACTGATCAACCACACATACAAACACAGATCAGCCTGCATGAGCATAGACAGGACAGAAATAGAAGAAGGAGGAAAAAGAAGAGAAGGTGCATGAGCGGTGCCTCGCTTCTACTCACCAGCACTGGCAGAACACAGCAGAGACACCAGGAGCACAATCACCAGCGTCAGAATCTTCACATTCATTTCTGCACTCCCCTCTGGCTCGCCGCTAGTCGCTCGCTGATATACTGTAGTGGTGTGTGTATGTGTGTGATTGCGTGTGTGTGTGCGTGTGTGTGTATGTGCGTGTGTGTGTGTGTGTGTGCGTGTGTGTGTGTGTGCGTGCGTGTGTGTGCGTGTGTGTGTGTGGATGGGAGGGAGGAGAGAGAGAGAGCAAGTGAGGGAGACTGTTTGCTCTGCTCTGTGTGTGTGCGCGTGTCTCTGTGCGCGTGTAAGAAATGAGTGTTGTCTAAATGTGTATTTGTGTATCCGTGTGTGTTATATGTGACAGGACCACTCCAATGACTGGAGGAAGCACGTCTCTATCCAAGCTCCCCCACAGTGTGTGTCAGAAAATGAGCAGCCAAGTTCAGCGGAGCTGTGAGTGTCTCTGGAAGTCCTGCTCGCCTCGGATAAGGAGGCTGTCTGGTCATGTGGCTTATGTATCTCAGACCCACTAGGTCACAGAAAAGCCACCTCCCCCCCAAGTCAGTAAGTGTGCATGGGCTGGGAGTTGGCAAAAAGGGAGGGAGGGGTGTGAAGAAGAAGAAGAAGAGGAAGGAGCGTGGGGGGTGCGTGCAGGTTTATGATAATAGCCCAACAGATGCTCTTATTGAAAACTCTTTTGAAATTGCAAAGCAGGGTGACATGCCAGGAATTCGGGGGAATGAAAATAAGCGAGCAAGCTATCGCGGATGAAAGAAGGGAAGGTGCGAGATGAGCTTCCTGCTTTTGTATCGCTAACCCTCGCTCCATTCTTTCAGCAGCGTGCCTCCGGCTAAATAGGTATGGATGGCTTAAATCACCACGCGCCGTTTGAAGTCGGCCACCGTGACAGTTGGGGAGTCACTGCAGGAAAAAACGTATCAATTATTGCTCCCCACCTCCTTTAAGCAGTCATTTTTTGACATTTATTATATTCTTTTCGCAAACAAAGGCCGATAAGAGACCAACTTATCTCGTTTTCGTTTGTTTACCACACAATAAACAGGAAAGGTTGATTTTTATTGCAATGAATTGTGAGAATTGGGAGTTTCCTTATCGCATCGTGCCATGTAGCGACAGCAAGGCCACATGCTTTCTGCCTCCACTATCGGTATTTTTTTTCCCCACTAAAACTGTTTTCAAAAATGAAGAATATGTCAAACATTAGCAGTGTTTGATTTGCATCATCGGGCTGGTCGTCTTGTTGCTGTTGTCGAGTCGAAACATGGAAAAATGTGGCAAACTTTTAATGCTATCCAACACAACTCACAAATGCACCTTAAGCCAAAATAATATTTTTGTTTAGGGTTCCACTTGAAACAAATGCCAAGACAGAATGAAGTATCCAAAATTGCGTTTGTTTGCAATCAACTTACAAAAACCCATTTGCCCAAAAAGGACAAATTTAATCCGTTATTTAGGCTACTCACTGAAATAATTAGAAACTTAGTGATCCGACTTACCAGTCTTTCAAGATATGAGTTGTCATTTGACTGAGTTTTTACTTTGACTTGCAAGCTAAAATTTGAGGTACGAGCGCTTCGACTCTGTTCAGAAGCAGCAGCTTGACAGATAGTGAACACTTCGACAGATCCTGATTTATATAGTCATTTAAACTTATATTCAACTGAACACACTACAAAGCCAAGATATTGTTCAAACTGATGAACGTTTTTTTTTCTCTTTTTTTTTTTTTTTTCCAAAACGTTCTCGCATCCAAAAAATCTGGGACTGTGTCAAATGGATAAAAAATATATATTTACACATTTGGAACACTCTAAGGGTGAACTGATTGATTGAAAACAGGTGAGTATTGGGTATAAAATGAGCATCACTGAAAGGCTCAGCACATTAGTTGAGCTCACTGCCTTCATACAGTGTTCATATCTCAAGTTTGCAAAGCAAAAAAATAAAATCATCCGACTGACAGCTCATACTGTATCTAGAAAAAAAAATCTTAAATCAGGTAACTCGTATTTCAAGACACAACTGTACTTTGTTTTCCTTACATTGGTTGATTTGTATCAATTTAACGTACATTGGAATTGAGCATTATCATGATCATCAACCTTTTGATTAATCTTTTGCATTAGATGTTACATTGTGAAGATCTACCTAATTAAGTGAGCTCAAATGGGATCTGCTCACATTTGGGGTTGTAAATCCGAGTCCCCAAAGGCACGTAGTGACACTTGATTGATGGGCCGCGTTTGGGTCCCACCCTCCGGACCCTAACCCCCCCTATCAGCGAGGCTTCTTTTCTGTGTTGTGACTAAACAGTCACACTTTAGTGGTGTGGACCTAAGAAGAGGGGCCCTGTGTCCCTCAACTCTCCAACTCCTGTGTCACAACAACCCGGCCATTGTCTGCGCCAAGGGTCCCGTAGGGGCAACAGTGTCTGTGCCACCCACTGGAGATCCAACAAGAGGAGCACCTTCCATTTTTTACACGTAGCATTTGAAGGCAGCCCCCGTTCATGTGTTGAGCTCCTCTTGGGGTCCCTCAAGATGCTTATCTAAGCCCTTTTTCTTAGCCAGGAGATAATTAGCTTGGTTGCTTTTAGAATAATTTGTTCACGACATCTTCTCAAATGTGCTCACTGATCACTGACAGAAATCCTTCCCAATCGTCGCTAATGGTGGATAGATGGGGATTACGGCGCCATTACCAGCCCACTTAGTAGTTAGGAGTAATTCCAAATTCAATTTAATCCAACAGTCATGAAGGATTGTAAAGCGAGCCAGCAGATATTTCAAATGAACAGTAATGTGCTTGAGTGGGCTATTAAACAGTTGCGCCCAATCCAGGTGTTTGAACACCCCCCTCGCCAACCGTCGCCCCCACCCACACCCGCCATCTTAATAATTCATGACTGTGGCCTTAGCAGTCATTAAAAAGTTATATGGATATGGATGAGAATATGGCCGACATTGTAAAGTTGGCAGTACCAGCTCAGACATTTGCACTCTATTAGCTTTAATTGTCTTAGCTCGGAGCAAAGCCGTGTAATGAAACTGTAGCAGATGGCGTTTCCTCACTGTGTGTCGGTGGACGTCTGTCATGACTTGAACCCTAAGCCAGGGGATGGCTGCACGTTTACATGCGGGGGAGCGGGGTGCTTCGGGTCAACAGGACACGGGTTGAGGTCGGAAGGCAGCAATAGGGCCAAACATCTGCCTCAACACAGGAAACACTTGGCTGTTTACAGGAAGCGCACATGAAGGAATGTCGTGGATGTCTGCATTTGATGACCTTTCCTGATTCCTGACTTCTTCATAATAGACATTCCTCAAGTAACACGTACTGTATGATGAGAATGGCATCTTTTTCCTCTTTTCCGATGTCAATGTCCGCAGCAGGAATCGTCAACAGGTGGCCCCTCGATTCAGGCGATGGCTAAATGAAGCGCATGAGCTCATGATTGTACACAAATAATTGATTTTTCCTGTTTATTTTCCGCCTCCATAAAAAGTTGCCGATTGCCGGAAATGTTAATGAAGAATTCGGATGTTTGTTCGTATTGTTGTTTTGCTGACTTGAAGACAGACGTTGATGCTGTTGTTGAGAAAAAGTGAAAAACCTCCACCACTATTTGGAGGGCGGCATTTGGATATCGAAACAGTGATGACTTGTCGTCAGGTCTTTCATTATGTCTTTTGAGAAATGACACAAAGTCATCTTCTCTCGAATGGTTGAAATACTGCGTTTTCCTGATGAGACGGGAGATTCATTTGTGGTGTTTTGCACTTCTGAGGGCGAAACTGTGTCCCCTGCTTTCATCTAGCCATGAAATGTCTTGGAGGACAGCATAGCTTCTAAAGGTCATACAAGTCCATTTTAAGCATTTGGTGACCATTATTCCTCGAAAGTTGCACAAGAACTCGCAGTCTTTTGCAAAGCTCAGTTCATCGAGGATCCCCCAGCAGTCGAAGCTTTATGGCAGCAGAACGAAGAGACGACACAGGACAAGCCTGAGTCATCCCTGACTATTTGAACAGAAAGAAAAGTTTTAAGTGTACTATTGAATACAGTTTGGATGACTGCCCGATGGACTGTGTCAGGAAAATGCTTGGGGAGGAGAGGAACAGTTAACATATTTTACATGTGTATGATAGTAAATAATGAAAAATGTTACTGTACAGTACTTAAAAGACCACCTGCACAGTTAATAAAAGATTGAAAGGGCCTATATCATGCAAAATCCACTTTTTTTTTTTTTTTTAGCTTTTAGCCATGTTAAAATTCTAATTCCTCATCAAAATCACCCCCCAAGTAGTGTTTTCCTCCATTCGCCCATTTCTGAGCGTTCCCGCTACTCCTGCGCTCTGATAACCAGCTCTAGCCAATCCAAGAAAATAATTAGGTACTCAATCTTATACGTGTAAGATTGCGTGAGCCAAACCCGTTCCGCTGCTGCAGACCAAACACACAGCCACTTTCTCCGAGCCAGCATCGAGATGCTGGACAAATATATCTGGGAGAGAACTGCTATGAGCGGCCATCTTGGCCGCAGCGCCGGCTTCCCCGGCGACAGACCATCCAGCAGCTGTTAGTCTGTGATCGTCATTTGTCAGAAGATGGCCTGGTGAAACTTGGCCAGTGCTTAAGTGGATTGGACGGGAGATTAAACCTTAAAACTGCCGCAATTCCCACAATCATACGTGCTGGAGAGGGCAGAGCTCTCAGTAAATTAAACCGCCAGCTAAATGATCATGTGTTATTCGCTAGCTTTGTTGTCAAGCACGATACTGTATGCCAGACGTATTTTGTGGTGCAAAAATAAACTAAAATCAGTACTATGTGCATGGTGCAATGCTGTATGAAGAGTGTCACTTGACTCTGGATCAAGGGCATCAGGCTCCATAATATGTTCTTTCATCTTTACTGATTAATACTATTTCCTGTTTAGTAGGCGGTGCTCGCAGCAGCCTGCGTTAGGATGACATCATGAGCGAAGGTGGGATCTCATGAGCTAGCCGCTTTATTTCCGGATGAGAAAACTACCCTCAAAAATAACTCGAATTTCATTAGATATTAAATCACCATTGTGCTAAAGGTAACATACAATTACATATATGCCTGTAGTTAACTGCGGAAAGATTAGCATGATATAGGCCCTTTATAGATGACAACATTTTG